ACGCATGCCGATGGTGGGAAGGAATTGGTAAAGACAGCCTCTGAGTGTGGGCTTGAAACCTCGACAACCTTCGTCAAACCCAGCCTTCCAAGTGCACCGTAAACATTTTTAACCGAGGGCAGTAAAACCTCCCATAATTCATGGTCACCGCCCCCCAAGATCTCATTCCCCACTGCGATTCCAACTATCTTTGTTCCAGGGAGGAATGGCTGCACATTTTCCTTTATCCAATCCATGGCACGATCCTCCCCCACACTCATTTCTTTCAGATACTCATTGCCAAGTCCGATTATGATTTCAATACCAGAGCCCTTGAAGGCCTTGAGGACCTCATGATCAGCGTCGTAGATTCTGGTGTTCTTTATCTTGGCTGCTTTCAGCAGCGTCACCACGCTGCCTTGTGAAGGTAAATTGTCCGCTATCCTACCATAGTTTACTCCGTATGTTCCCTTGAATGCGTACACCGTCAAAACTGCACCATACAGGAAATTAATAAAGCCCAGATATACAAGACACCAATTTGAGTCTTTCATCGCATGATTCCATTTTTCATTTTGAAAAAATAAAATAAAAAACTGTGTAATTAGGTACAGGATACTGACATTATCACAAGAATCAGAATCCAAGTCGATATCCATATATGATAAAGAGCCACCAGCCAGATATTAAATAATATATTTATTTACAAATGGTCAAAAATCTAAAACTGGATCGTCCACTACCATGCACAGAACTGCAGCTGGTGTCATTTTGAGAATAAAAAATGAGGACAAAATCATTGATTGTTCTTGGGTGGTGACAAAATAGAAAAGAAAAGAAAAGAAAAGAAGCAAATTCGAGCTGCTCTCCACCATTTTACAAGTGTACTGTGCTTGTAACGTACTCATTCACATACCAAGAAGAAGAGAGCAGAATTCCAAATCTCAGTAATATATCTTGTATGATCTATGAAAAATGATTATAACTTGTAATAAATTATGTTAAATTAGAAATATATTCAATAAAAATGATTTTAAAACAGTTTTTTTTAAAAAAAGTTTAAGTAGAATTTACAAGTTAAAAGTTTAAAATTTTAACTTCATATAAGTTAAAAACTATTTCTAACTTTTGAGTAAAATTTTTTTTAATCAATTTGCAAAATTCATATCAAATGGAACCTAATTCAAAAATAAGATAAAACAAATGACATATAAATTCTGAAATCTAAATATCATGACGACTACTCAATACGAATCGGGGAAAAAGGTAGGGAATACGTGCCATTGGAAGAAATGGCAGAGAAAACGAGGAGGAGCCAGAGAAAGAAAGAAGAGGAACCCATAATTCCGGTGGAAAGATGGCCAAGGAAAGTGCACTCAATTTGCAGAAAAGAAGGGGGTTTGGCACAACCTTTTGTAGCTCAAAAGTGTCAAAAAGATAAACCCTTTGGATGATAATGCAATTCTTGTTCTTGAGGTATGCCATAAGACCCCCAAGGAACTACAAAAAGATTCTTAACCTTTGTTCAAAGATGAAAGAGATTTCTCAGGGGGTTGGTATTGATTCTTAACTTTATCTCAAAGTATACCTAATTCTCTCCTCGTGTTTTTTGTTTTTGTTTTACCAGGTTTCGGTACTATACTCTTCCTCAAGAAAGAACGAAACATAAACTCGTCTTCTATATATACTTTTCTTGAGAGAGATGGAATGCTTTTTTTAGCTAGTTTAGAGAGGGGAGGTGGGAAGCGCAGGAAGGTAAACAGTGATGGTCACAAGCCAGAAGCTTGGGGCTGAGATATGGAATGTTTTGGGCAGTGACTGGAATCCCTCTGGAGAATCCAATGATAGATCTTTCGAGGGATCTTTCAGCTTTCCCTTCCAAATGGCTAGGATCCATTTATTTAGAACTTTTTGGAGACAAAAGGAGAATAAATTCAGCAATGCTACTGGCCGCTCTTCTAAAGAGGGAAACAAGGAAAGTTTAAGCAAAATGCAGACATTTAGCCATTTCATAGTACAACTAGTCTCACGAATCACTGCTCTTAAACATAGCAGATCTGGAACCAATGCCACACAACTCGACAAAATAAATATATAATTGGTTAGTTTAATTAGTTAGATTTTAAATTAGTTATTTAATAGTAATGAATTTGAGTAGGGAACTGATTTATAAAATTAATCGATTTACATAAAATCTACCTAATATTCATATTAATCTAAAAAATTATATAATGTTTTAGTCTAGTCACTAAACATACAAGTTAATTAAAATTTAGAATCTCGATTCCTGCACAATATATGCAACAAATAAAAGCTGCAGAAACTACAACCTACTCTAGTGGGGTAGGAACAGGGTGTTGTCCCATGCATTTAAATCTAACATCAACATATCATCAAATCTAGGAATGGCATTAAAGCTACAGATACCACAATTAGTAGAGAAGCAGATATGACAGCAGAGCTAGGGATGAAGGAAAATATGTTCATCAAGCATCTCAAGGATGTTAGAATTATGAGTTTCTGCCTTTAACAAAGATAAAATTAAGTCCAGTTATGTTATTTGAATTATATATAATCGTTTTACTTTCAAAGTTTGCAGCAGGA